TATACCATTACATTACAAAGTTCCAGTTAATAACTTCAACATGTATATACAACCAATCAGCAAAAATGCCTTTAATTAATATTTTTGTTCTTCAAGAAACTTTTTAATATGTTTATTCTGTAGAAATTCAAAAATTAAGCATAAAAGCATCATCATGTGCATTTTACAAATTGCACAGGGTACAAATAAAAGTGACCTATATTAGGTGTTATATATGTATTATACAAATAAAGAAACAAAGTCTAAAACAGTACAAAACAACTTGCCTAGATAGCAGAGCTAGTTAATGAATGTGCTGAGTCTAGAAATGAGCTCTCTTATTTGTACTACATCAGTTTTCTCCATTGACCTTATTTAGAAACTAAGTGTTTTTCAGTTCACAAGATTCATATTTTATATCATTAAATAATTTTATAAGTATCCATGCTGTACTTTTTGCATTCTAGAATATATATATATATATATATATATATATATATATGGACAAAAATATTTCCATTCTGATTTTCAAGATCTTGCCTTGAAAAAATCCTGGAATTCAGAATATATCAGCTTTAGCTTTTTAAAGGTATTTCTTATCTCTTGAGGTTAATTTTATCTCTCTGACTTCTAATTTTCCTTCTTTCTCCCTGGCACTTTGCTTGCTCAAAATCACCCTCAGTATGGTAAGTAACTAAAAAAATATGAGCCATCCATATTTCAACTTATTCAAATCTGAAAAACAGTTGGAAATAAGCTATATTTTTAATGGTAAATTTTCTAGGGTAATTAGTTTTGCAGTTCTGATTTAAGATGTAATAAGTTATGGGTAATCATTTCAAGTGATGTCATTAACTTATCTGAAAAATCAGACTGATTTTAACCCACTCAGACTTTAAAATTGGTAACTAGGTACAGTTGGCATAAAATAAATGTCGAAGTTACATCTTTCCCAGCATTGAAAACCATTACCTGAGGCAGGAGAGGAATTTTATACCAATCCTAAACTCACATAATTGTAAGAAAACTCTTTTCACAGAACTTTACCTAAATAAAATTTCCAACAAGTTAACATTTATGTATTTAGCAGGTATGAGCCAGAGGGATAAGTGACTCAGTTATATGCTGCATATATTATCAGAAAAAAATAGGCATCCAGGAAAATTGAATGGCTTATGTTATATAACTACTACAAAAATTAATTTTTTATTGAACTGAGAGCCCTGTGACTATATTCTGTAAATATATCATGTACTCTATCAAAAAACCCTAGTGAATTTATACAAGCTTAAATTTATGTAATCAAGGCTGCTCTCACACACAGTCACTTGTGGACAAGTTTCTTATTTGAGACATCCAAAAATTTCCTTTACAGTAAATAACAAAACCACAAATATCTAGCTATTATAAAGAATAGTTTAACTTAACCATATAATTAGGTTATACAACTTGAAAAACAGAAAATATAATGAAGCAAACTCTAGAGTTCTGGAGTCATGAGATCTTATTCAGAGTTCCATAAGTTAGAAATTAGTATTAGCTGTGTGATTTTTACCTAATTAACCTATTTTTTCTAATATGATTCACAAGAATAATGGGGTTATAGTGGTACCTGCCTTATGATGTTGTTATGATCACTGAATAAGACCATCCATGTAACATAGCTGTTAGTTGTCACTTTGTGGTCATCATCAATATTGAAGGAAAGAAAGACTAAAAACTTAAAGGCTTTAAATTGTTTTGCCATTATAGAAACATAACATAGAAATTTTCTCCCATGTTCACTGAATGTCAGAAATAGAAAGGAGTTTAAAGATATTCACATCCTCTTCTCATTTATTTGCATGAGGAAAGTGAAGATCATAAAAATGATGAATTGTCCAATACCATACCGCTAGCTAGAAGCAAATCCCCAAATTCTGACTCCAAGCTCAGGAGTCTCTCTACCATGTCATTATAGCCACACTAACTAATCTCTGCCTCAAAGTATTTGATCCCTGCTTCAAATTATTTGGTTTTCAGGAATGTGGGTTTGTGATACAGAAGACACAAGAATAAAACATGTTGCTCTTCATTGAATTTACTTATTTCAACATGAAAGATTTAGATGTTACATAAACATAATGGTGGTAAAAAGTAAATACATAGGTTATTGTAAGGTAGGTTTGAAATCTTTTCCTGGAGTACCTGTAAAATTAAAGTATCTTCTTTATTCATTCTTGAACAATTTTGTCATTACCTATGAAACAGACAATGTCTTTTTGCAGAATGACTTAATTGCAATCTTGCCTAAAACAAATGCCACTGAAAGTACCTTCTATCATCAGTATATTATTCATTTGGGTCATTAGCCCACATTATCTAATTCTGTAGAATTGTAGGGGTCTTTTTTTAGCAAGTTTCCACAATCACTAAACCTCATGTTCAGAAAATCATCCATTCCCCTTATTTTAAATGAGAACTCTTGCCCTTTATATAAGGATTTTGTTCATTTTCATTTGTTTATTATTAGTGCATATCAATTATACAAAATAGTAGTTTTATACCATTATGACCTACCTAAATCCATAATGTTGAAACTTAAATTTATACTGGTCAAGCATCTTTATCTCTAGGCCACTGTCTTAATTTTTTAATTTTTAAAGCTACTTCATATATTCTATAATACCTAGGATTGTGTGAGAGAAAACCTGATTTGTCTAGATGATAAATTCTAATATTAAAAGCTCAGGAATAACTAGAAACAAGTATATAACAATCTCTGGAGTTAATATACCATTTTCCCAAATGTAAAGTTAAGGAATTCCTTCATTTTAGAACCAAGCTAGTTTTCCCACACACAAATGTGTGTGCATGTGACTATTTGTGTTAATATCTGAAAGTTTATAAAGTTTAGTAAAATCTTTTATCATAAAAACTACTCTATATGGCTAATAAGTTTCGTCATGTTTTGTTTGCTGGTGCTATCAGATGTGAATTGGTCAAAGGAAACAGAAAAAAAAACCTACTATTTATAGGCACCTACTAGGTACAGTTAAGAATATAAACCGTCTTCTTAGAATGTTACTAATATTAGCTCCATCCTAAACATGCCAAACAATTTAAAGTAACATTCAGTGGTGAGTAATTTAATACATTTTCTGGTGGATATATAATTATGTCTTAGTTACTTTCTCTTCACCGAAACACAATACCCCAAACCCACAGCTTACAAAGAAGGAAAGGTTCATTTTAACTAACAGTCTGTAGTGGTTTCAGTCCATCCTGGTCTGGCTCCAATGCAAGGTAGAATGGTAGAGTGGCATGGCAGAGGAATATGGTGGAGGCTCCCTCACGGCAAGGCAGACATGATCCCATTATTCCTTATAATTCAGTCACTTCCCCAAAATGACTAAATACTTATGAGTGCAGGAAGCCTTGGAGGGGGACATCTGATAGAAACCATAACATATTGACACAACCATTTGGGAACTCAGTTGGTTATTGTCTATTAAAATGAATAATGTTTGAATCTATGATCTAGGAATCTTACTTTTATGGAATTCTAAAGAAACATTGCACAAGGATGTTCATTGTAGCATAGTCAAAAATCTGGAAATAATTTAAACCTTGATTAGTATTGAAGTAAATAAACAAGCTATCAAACAAAAATGGAGCACTACTGTTTTAAAATATCTAAGACATACACTTAGTATATAATACAGAGATATTAACTTGCATAATAAAATCAATAAATATCAGTACCTGTACATATATTTTTATAAAGCTGACAGTTATTTCTAAGTGATTTGAGTGGAGGGAGAATAGTTAACAGAAGGCTTTTACTTTGCCAATGTAAAGATTTATTTTAAGAATGTACCAATCTGTTACATATGCAAAGGGCACTCTTTTCTTTACTGTCTCCCTGAACCTGTACTTCTTGGATCTGCAGAACAAACTCATGATACTATTTATGACCACTTTCCTAAATGGAAGAACATGTACCTATTTTTTTTACAATCTTTAATTGTCTGCATCTATCTGGGAAATTCTCCTTGGTTGCAAGCAGAAAATAGACATATTTAAAATTTCCCAGGAATACTGAACCTACAGTATTGTTATTGATCTCAGAGGAGCAGGCGGATGGAAATCAAACAAAACAAAATAAGTAGCATGCAGAATATTTGACAGAATAAATGCAACACCTTGTTTTAAGAAAACATTTAATTTATATTTTAGCTATGGTCCTGTATTAGTCTGCCAAAGTTTCACTCATGAATCTCAGATTTTGATTTTAATAATTCTCTTCTAAATAAAATATTTTTATCTTTGTAAGGAAATTTCTTAGATTAATTTGAATCAACTGTAAATTATAATAAAATATGAAGAGACTGAGTAATGCTATCAACTCTGCACCTAGGAAAACTGCAGGTTTGATGATCTGGTAAAAGATGTGAACAATGCCAAAGTAATCAACACAATGACCGTTTTATCGAGTAATTATTAGAAATTTAATTCTTTCACTTTTATGGATCAATTTTTAAACATCGGAGTCTACTGTTTGGAATTAAACTAATATCAGATGAGAAAAGTAGTAAATTAAAATGCAGCTTAAGATAGTCTAAGGGTGACTATTCTAGTCAAGTTTTCAAAAGTAGTTTCTTATATTGGTCTGAGAAGTTTTACAGTAAGTGTTTTTATTTCATAAAACTTGCATTCATTTTCTTAATCATAGGCATGTCATAACATTGGGGTGTAGTTAGGTTAGTTCTCAAGGAAAAAGGAAAAATCTAACAGTACAAGTAAGATATATTGCTATGGAAGTGTCCTAGAAAGTATTTTATCACTGGATTACTTGCAAGGGGACAAAGGAATCCAAAAACATGTTCTTTGGAAAGGTGTATGTCACTTAAGAAAGTCTTATGTAGTACTCTTATGCCTAATAGTATTATAAAAAGTAAAGGAAATCGTATCGTGGGAACTTAATACTTTCAAAGGACATTGCTCAGTAATAATTTTTGAACCTTGTTTTCTGTCTACAGGAACTCCATTCTCCAACTCTGAAAATATCAACTTGTGTCCCAAACAACTTATATATAACACAAAATACTGACCAGGTAAAAGAAACTATGGTTTACTTTAGATTTTCTTCTTTTTATGTAAGCCTTACTTATATGTTTGAACAATATTTAGGCTGCCATGTAACTACATAGTTGTGAAATGTCAGGACTTTGGAACAAAAAAGAGAATGCTCACATATAAAATGAGGCCGAGTCTACAAAAGGAATGTGAAATAAGTGCTATGAATCAGAATTTTCAGTTTTATTTCTACTCAACCTAATTGCTTTAATGTGTAGCTTGAGTTTAGCCAAGAAGTTGTTAGTAAATTGTAATATTTTTTCGTTGATTTGAAGAGAAATAAAATCTTGCATGGATTGAGGCGATGACTATGTATGTGAGTGATAGTATTTTATGTTTTTATTTGGAGACAATAATTTTTAAGGTCACTAACAGCACTTCTTATAGATTTATGACTTAAAAGACACACAAAGATCTTCATAGCTTAATAATTCCACTTTTAGAGTCTTCTCAATTTTAGGCAGCATGTCCAAAAAGTAACTACAATGGTAATGAAATAGTGTGCCAAAGAACACATGTTTAATTAGCTAGTTTCCATGTATTGAAAAGTAAATTTTAGGAAAACTATACTTGAAACATTCTAAGATTTGTTGGAGGATAATATAGGGTGTTTAGAATTTAGAGGTTAGGAAGGAGAAAATGTTCTCTTTTAAGAAAGCAGTGTCTCCCAGATAAGGTGCCAGGGTGTGAACTTGGCCAGTGCAGAAACAAATGAACAAAAGCTGGTCTTTAGACCTTGAGCACCACAAAGGAAAGGTAAAATTACACAGAATGAGTATAATAATTATCAGAGAAAATTTTCCTATCCATTTTCAATTTAGCCTCTACTATATCTGGGCAAATTAGAAGTATATAAACATTTACTGAATACTAACTTCATGCCAGTATTACACAAAAGTGAATTAGGTCCATTAACTATTTTCAAGTAGTTCACAGATTATCACAGGTTGCTTACATTGGTAAACCATATAACAGTGAATTTAAAATTACTGTTGTCTTACCAATGAAGCTTTGTAAGATCACCAAGGCAGGATTTCCTCAGGAAACGAAGTCCAGTTAAAATACATTTAATTACACTCAAATTTAATCAGAAATTTGTATTAACTATGTTGTTTTTAAAAGAAAAGTTTTTTAATTTGGATTTCCTATACATTTAATTTTTGATAAAATGTTTATTTTCAGAAAATTTAGATCTATAAGAGAATATCAAGAAGCAATAATAAGTCACTCATAATTCCTTTCTTCACTGAGATAATAAGAAATATTTTATTGTGTTTTCTTCCATTCAGAAACAAAATCAAGTTCATATTATATATGAAGTTTTATATCTTCATTTTTTCATTTAACCTTAAATAATATTATAAGCTATTTCACATAAATTTTAGTTACTCTGTATGCTTTAATTTTGTAACCTGAACAACTATTTCTAAGATGACAATATGTAACTTATCAACTAGTGATTTCTTACTGTTTACTTTTCTGTAATTCTGTATTATTTCTACCCTTTTTTCTCCATGTTTTTTTGTTTCTCTCTCTTTAAATAATAATAAAAAATAAGTAAAAAAGTCAGTTACTCATGATCATTATTTAACAGCTATGTGTTTCTGTTTATACCTCGTAATTTTTCATCTTATGCACATTTGTGAGCATTATTATATCAACTTTTCAGTAAATATTTTTTTTACTAGCTCTGATTTCTAATTTGGTTGAACACTTTGTAAGTTTATTAACCATATGTTTTTCTTCTTTAAAAGTTGTGCATGCCATATGCTAATTTTTAATTAATGTAAATATTTTTCTCATTGATGTATAAGAACTATTTATCTACTAACGATATCTATTTTTCCATTAAAACTTTATAAGTGACTTAGTTTTCATGTTTTATATACATTTTAATGTACTTATGGCCCTCCTTTTCCAACACACTAAGGATTTAAATGTTTAAGTGTGCATACACACGTATACATATACACACACACACTTTTTCCTTAGTATTCTCCATTTTAAAAATGTAGCATATTCTTTCCAAACTAAGTATGAAACACTCTTATCAGAAAGTATGGTGAATTTCTATGAAATTAGTATAATAGAAAATCACAAGCACAGTGCTCAGAACATATCACATGTTTTTTCAAATGTTTTCAAGAATCAAATTAACAAAATTATAAAATTGTACATTAACCTTTCTATAAATGTTTCCTTTCACTCTAAAAATTGTTCCTAATTATTATTATTGATAGCTCCAATGTTGCTAACTAGTTATGATTATAAGTATCTTTTATCTTTTTTATAGGAACTCCATTCTCCAATGGTGAAAGTCATTACATATCCACAAACCAATATTAGGAGATACATAGTACAAAATGCTGAGCAGGTAAGACATTACATGAACTCTTTCCAACATATAATTTCTTAGAAATCAGTAACCTAAACTGGAAGAGTGAGTTATTAGATTATTAAAATCAGATTATTGAACTTTTCTTCTAGTTATAAAGTAGATTTCTAATCACTAGTGTCAAAAACATCATGTTTGGTCTGGGGATTTAGCTCAGCGGCATAAGTGCCTGCTTGGCAAGTGTGAGATCGTGAGTTCAATTCCCAGGTACCAAAACAAAAAACCCATTATGTTTAATTTCATACAACCATGCATTCATCCATTTTGACTCAGAGATATCTATAGCTCCAAGCAACTAGGACATTTGCATGTTATAAAGGTTTTCTTTTTTTAGACCCCCACCCCTCATACTACAGAGGACTTTTACACACCTCGACCAAAACAAAAGTGACAAAGAATTTTCACAGAATTTCCATAAAAATTCTATCAACAGTTATGTGAAAGGTTGCAGTTTTAGTCTGTTTATTTTAGCCTTTGAGATATTCATTAGGAAAAAGAAAAGCAATAGTCATACATGAAAACTCTTTTCATGCTTTTGTTGCCTATTGTAAACACATATTCCTTGCAACAAGGTGATTAGAAAATTACATTATTGTCTTTCTTGCAAGGTATACAGTATTCTATTACACAAAAACAGAAAATTGCTATCTCATTGTGAAAAGAAAATTGAGAAAACTCTTCTTGTCTACAGTAATAAGACCTCCTTAGTGTACATATTAACTCATAATTTCTCTTTCTCTCTCTGTCTGTCTCTCTTAATTTAATTTACAATAGGAAGTTCACTAAGAGTAGAAAGATTATCAGTTTATCAGTTTCAAAATTAACAAAAGCAATTCATATAGGAATTTAATTCTTTGCTTTTTTCTTTATTTTATTTTTCCATTATTGTGGTAATTATTCACTTCACTTCAACATAAAATAATTTGTTTGTATTATGGAAACAAATGGTTAAATTAGGTTAGTACCCTGTCAGCTACCAACCTAGGAGTGTGTTTAGGATATACCAGTGTACTACTAATATATATTGTCCTATCCCCCTTTATAAAAAATAAAATTTTTAATGTCTCCTTAACTAGGGGAGGCTATCAGTTGTACGTGGGTATCTGAGTGAACCTATGTGTACACAGGGTTTGAGTTAGGAGATGATTGTTTTGGATATTTTTGTCAGTTTTCATAAACACATGTGTCTTAGTTTTCTGTTTGCTATGAAAAAATACCTAATACCACAAATTAAAAGAAAAATGACTTATTTTTCTCTAATTTTGGTCAATGTTGACTGGTTCTAAAGCAGGATGATAATGGCAGAAAAGAGCTGCTCATGGCATGGTATACGGGAAGCAGAGAGCTTCAAGGAATGATCCAGAAAGGGTTATGTAACCTTTTAGGTCATGCCCACAGTGATCTATCTCTTCCAATCAGGAAGTCAGCTCCTAACAGCAAGTCAGCTATAGTATGCCTATATTTCCATCACCTTCCAAAGGTGCCATCTATAAACTCATGAGGCTTTTAGCATGACATGTATTTATAAACTATAACATTGTGCCCCAGGCTCTAAAGGCTTATGTACATCTCTTTATGCAAATTTTATTTATTCTGTCTCTAGAAGTTGCCAAAGTTCTAATAGTTCCAGGGTTATGAAAAGTCCAAGTCCAAATCATCTTCTGAGACTTAAGACAAACTCTTACCTGGGAGTCCCTGTAAAAATCAAAAGGAAAGTTGAATACTGCCTACATACAATGACACAGGATAGAAAGTCCCATTCCAAAAGGGAGGAGCAGGGAAATCAGATCAAAGCAAGACCAAAACCCAGCTGAGCAAATACTACATTCTGCTGCTTTTTGTCTGCAGACTAAGGCAAGTTGTAGCCATGAGATGGGACCTACAAAGGGTTTGAGTGGCTGTGCCCAAGTGGCATAGCTGGTGGCTGTACACTTCATGACTTCTCTTTTAGGCTGGATTTGCATACTCCTTGTAACAATCCATGCTTCTGTTTCATCCAACGTCTTGAGGTCTCCATGGCACTTTGGCTTCACTGTCACAACTTCATGGACTACTTTCTCAAGGGCACACTGGCTGGCCCCAGGCCTTCTTATAAAATCTAGGTGAAAGCTTTCCTGATCCCAAAACTCTCTATTGCCAACTTAATCAGAAGCTAGGGTCTCTTGTATCATGGCTTCAGGGATCTTCAAGTGTCTGGATGGCTGAGGAATGTGACCTGAATCTCAAATTTCCTATGTGGTCCTCTTTAAGCACAGTGCTTGGGGGCTCTCTTCCAAAAGCAAAGTTTTGCACTTTCCTAAGTTTTAACTTCAAAGGGTACAGCCTTACTAATTCATTACAGGCCCTGAAGGCATATTTCCTATTAATCTTTTGTAAAGTATTTGGCTTCTTTCGATTTATAATACTTCCAGAAAACAAGATTTCTTCTTTTTCATCATTGCCATTTCATCACTTTCTGCCAAAACTGAAAACTTTTGAAATGGGCAATTTACTGCTATTCCCTATGGTATAATTTACTGAAAGCAGCAAACAGTAACCATGCTTCCACCTTAAGGTTGAGCTGCCTTGAAATTTCCTCTGGTAGATCAATTAGTTTATTGCCTTTTATCTCAATCTTATACAAAGTCTCAGAAAATGAAAATAATATAGACAAATTTGTGCCAGAGAATAACACACATGAGTTGGAGTCCAGTTCCCAGTGTGATTATTCCTAACTGAAACCTCCTTAGCCTGGTCTTCACCATGTGCGTTTCTAACAGCATTCTGATCTTCTTGAACTTTGACCAAAATTTCCCATCAACCTTAGCCTACAACATTCTAGGACATTTTTTTCCCCAGTATCTCCACACCTATCCAAATTTTTCCCACTAACAAAGATTTCTGAACCACTTGGTCAGAGAGCATCACAGCAATGACCTCACTTCTGTGGTACCAAAATCTTAGTCACTTTCTCATTGTTGAGACACTATACCTGACACTGACAACTTAAAGGAAAATTTATTTTTGATCACATTTCAGTTCAATCATCTGGCTCCATGGTAGTTTGAAAAGGCACAGGCACACAGAAAAGGATAGCTGCTCATTGCACGGTGTAAAAAAAGCAGAGAGTAGGAAGGAATAGAGGAGTTGAGAAGGCAGATATAACCTTCTCTGCTGTGACCTACTTCTTTTGACCAAGTCCCACTTCCTAGCAGCAAGTCACCTAGGGTGCTCCTACAACCCAATCATTGTCTGAAGGTCACACCTATGATCTCATGAAGTTTATACCATATAAAGATTGATAAGTGATTCTTTTGGTGCAGAACAAAATATTTAAGCAACAATTATTAAAGTGGAGGGGTATATGTGGAGACAAGAAAGGCCTCTGAGATCATAGTGTATCTTTTTGTATTACTTGACCAATTGCTTTGTTTTCCTCATCATCTTTGTCCTCTTATTTTTTTTTCTTTCACATACAAATTAGGGTATATGCATGCCAAGGTGTGTAATCCACTTCCTATCACCATCACAGAATTAATTATAATAAAGCACATTTTTCATAATGTAAAAATTGCTGTGCCTGCCTAGGATACATTACAAAATATTAAATATGAAATTAATTGGATTTCAGTCCACTTTTCCAGCAAGTCTTGTGACTTTGGAAGTATTTTTATTCTTTAGGTAATAAAAAAAATAAAATATATTAGATATATATCCCATGATAAGCAATTTAAGTATTGAATTCCATATAATCCTTTTTAAAAAGTGGGAAAACAAAATTACAGAGACATTTAGTCACATATCCAATGAATATTTATCATCTGCCTACTGTAGTAGTCAAATTTTTATTGGTTGGACCAAATACCTTACATATATAACTTAAAGGAGAAATACTTATTTGAATATCAGAAGTTTCCAACCGTAGTTCACTGGCTTCAAGGTAGAAATGACATAGAAATTAGTTGCTCCAGTCATGGCATCCTGGAAACAATGTAAAAGAGGTAAAGACCAAGAAGAGATTCACTCTTCAAAGGCATGCCTCCAGTAACCCACTTTCTCCAAAAAGGCTGTGTATACTAATAGTCCATTCAGCTAAAAATATGATGCTAGCACTCTCGTAATCCATTCACCTATGTCTCCACCTCTGAACATTGCTACATTAGGGATCAAGGCCTCAATTCATGAATTTCTGGGGGATACTTAATATTTAAGTCATAATGGCTGCTATGTACCAGAATTTTCCATAAGAACAAAGGAAAGAGCAGTGAACAAATTTAAGGTCCCCAGATTCTCAAAATTTACATTATTAACTGGTGACAAAGTTCAGTTTCAAAGTGACAGAATTGGTACTGAATTGAACACAGCTGGGAGAAAAAATTATAAATTAAAGATAATTGATGACAGATGTAAATTAGTTACCAATTGTCTACATAACCTTTTTTTCCACAGTACAATTACAAAGGCAGGGAAATTATAAGTGTATTTGAAAGTAAATGACATATTTGAAACGCTGGGCTTGCCTCTGTAAGAACTCATTATTGTGAGCTGTGTTCCACTACAAATAAAAGAATTTCTCAGGAAAATCCAGCAGAATATTGAGGAAAAATTATACATTTCACAGCTTTTGATAATTTCATTGAGGAATAAGACAAATCTCAAGCCTTATGGTTTAACAAAAATAATACAACTGATTTACCAATGTAGTTTGAAAATTCTGTCTACATTTATTTCATTTGTAAGTAAGTTCTTTCTTTGCATGTTTGCTTGTTTTATTTTTTTTTCTTTTAAATCTACTTAGGGAAAGATGCTAGTTTAATTACAATGTTTACAATAAATTGGACCTCTGACAAATAAATTTTTTCCTGTTACCTCTTAGCTTCTCTATTTTATTCTACTCTATGGAATTAAATAGGTCGTAAGTTACTACTCTCCTTATGATTTTCTTCTATTTCTGTTCAACATTTTAACTTTCTTTTTCTTCTGTTATTCTTTGTTCTCTG